ATATTTGTTATCGAACGCGGTTCAAAATGGCTGGAAAGCCCGCTAAATTGTAGTGCTGGCGGCGCTACCTCACGGCCACGTCGAGGCCGCTGCACAGCTGATGCCGTTTTCACAAAAAATGGTGATGTCACACTGGCGTTTCGTCTGCTAAAAACGCACGTACAGTCGGACCAGCTGTGTCTCTGAAAGCAAAGACATGCCTCTGTCGCAAACATCATCGTCCTCGCTGTCAACATCGGCAAGTGATGATGACAGCGACCTGGAATTGGGTATCGCCTCAATTCGCAACCATCCTTGCTTGACAAGCTCCACGTTAAATGCAATGTATTTATTAGTCCCGCCCGTACTTTCAGAGTTCAGGAACACCAACTACGCACATCGTGTTGCGGATGTTTGGCGAATGAATCGCTGCTTTAAGCTGCAGCAGTGACCAGTGGCGTAACTAGATAGGACGGCGCCCAGGGCAAATATATTTCCGCGCCCCTCATTATGCCCGTGATAATTTCCGCGCCCCCCCCCCATTAAAAGCGCTAATGTAGGCTTCCGCGATTGCCTACTGGCGCGCGGCGGGCCATTTCGGAGGCCAAGGGCCACCAGTTCTGATTTCGATGAGCTACGCCCGCGTTTTTGTATAGTATTTTTCTTTTTTTATTCAAACTTCCGGAAGTCCCTTACCCGTCATTGTTCTCTTCCAGTCCACACTGCAAAAATCTTGACGGCACGGGCGCTTCCCAGGCCCAAGTTTCTCGTACCTAAGCTTTCGCGCTATTTGTGCATCCCAAGGAATGCAGGGTGAGTACAAAACAAAGCAACCAGCTAGACACCGCGCCCTCGGGTCTGGTATGGGGGTTAAACTGGTCGGAGTGTTCTGCCGTTTCGCTCCGTTCGCTGTTCCATTGATGGAGGTCATCCTTGTGCGGCCGCATTCTTTCAGGGAAGTTCTTGGTTTCTCCAACGTACGAAGCGGGGCAGTCGGCACATGCTGTCGGGTACACTACGCTCTGCGCTTTTTTCGCAGGTGCGTGTTCTTTGGGCCAAAGGATGAACCTGCCCATGGCGGTGGATGGCATGTGGGAAACGTTGACCCCCGCCCTTCTATTGCTTTGCTGGCGCCCGCGATGCAGGGAATCAACAAACGTCGCCGTCGTGTCACGCTTTCTCCGTCTTTCCTCCAGAGAACTCTGCGAATAAACGCCTTTGTTTAGCCTTTGGTGCCGAGGTCACGGATTATATTCGCCCTTCCTTCCGCCGCTGCGTGGACGATTAGTCGTTGGACGATCGGCTATTTCGTTGGAGTTTTCTGTTCTTACTCAAAAAAGGTGCATTCGAACTTTTTTATTTTATTTTGTTTACGTACGTGGTTGGTTTCAGGGAAGCTTTCAGTAAGTGGTTTGGGAGGCTGGTGGGGTTCGCTGAAACTCATCTAACCCAGTGCTGCGGAGCACAAAACAAAGCTTAGCCGAGGGTCATGGGAAGGCACGGAGGTAGCGCAGCAAAATGAAAATAGAGGATCCTTTTCCCGATGCAAAAGCCATTGCGGCAACCCTTTCCTTCACCACCATCCCCACTTCCAGTCGTACATTACAACCTCGCCCCTCCCCCCTTCCAGGCGGTTTTACGGAAAAAAACATTGACAACCTTTCCAGGGGGCGCCAACCCGAGGACTCGGCTTGGCGCCCCCTCCCTAGTGGCGCCCGGGGCACTTGTACCCCCTTGCCCCCCCCTAGTTACGCCACTGGCAGTGACTCGCTAGAAATAGCCCCGGCCTCGAGAAAAGGCCTCGTAGTGCCAGTGAAACCCAACTGATTCGCCAACACAGGATGTACCCTGTAGCAGCTCACTGCAAAATGAAGGAAGCGAATGTGGCTGTTCTTCACAAACGTTCAGTCCTGTCCAACGGCACGTACGAAGTCAACCCACTGGCTACGTTGACATTCATGGCTTGGTAAGGCATGAAACGCCACGCACTTTCCACTTTTTTTGCGCATTGACGTGCAGATTCTCACTACGCAGCGGTTCCCAGACATTTTGGCACGTATTGTCGCTCTGAATGACCGTACTAACACGCAGTGGAGCACTAGGCAAATCAGTCGATGCGACACGACGAATAGCACGCTTCAACACAGCAAGGAGAGCCACTAGTGAGAGCATAGTTGGGAGTCTGCTCAAAACACTCTCAGAGATCGTCGACGTCATCGTTACTAGCGTATCGTCACACAGGATGGTATTTGTGGAATGTATCACACCGAGCATGTAGCACTAATGTTAATGCCGCAGGGCAGTCTATTTTTCATTTTTTCTCTTTAGTTTTTTACACTGTTTGACGTCGAGACAAACTAACTTCGCCATGGACGCCATTTAAATTTGGCCAAGAAGACCTACGCATACCAAGTGATCAAATGCTGGGCACATCTCGATCTTGAAATTTCATGTCAGTGCTCCTTTAAGACTCTCACAGGCTGAAACTTTGAGAGCTCTTACTAACACAAGAAAAAAAACCTACATTGGGCCTGCACATCCATCGGACAAAAAAAGTGTGTCCACGCAACCCTTGCACGGCATAGGCGAACGGCCACGAGCTATATCGAAACTGCCAGATTAGTGAAATTGAGTTTAACACTCGTAACAAAGCCCGATGAACAAGTATTTAACTACAGCATAAAGGTGAGCTAGGTCAGTTGTTCTGGATTCATTTAAAAACCGCATGCATTACGAAGGATTGGGTGAAGAAACCGAAACTTCGAGCAGAAGAGCTGTCGATAGAGACCGGAAGTGTGAATTAATGTTTGGTATTTGAATGGCATAAAACAATATAAACAGTTAAAATATTTACTTATTAAACATAAAATAAGCAACGGAAGTAATAATATGAGGCTGTTTCTAGCTGTTATAACATGAGCCAATCGCGACTTTGGGTTAACTACGCAGTGATTTTGAGTAGGACACGTAATTGCACAAGAGAAATGAAATCAATTTTCAGTTGACTTTGATATTTATTGTGAATTCCAAGCAGCGTGCTGTGCTATAATATTAGGCTCGCGTGTTGTCGGGAGCCTCTACTATCTATCGACAGCATTTTCTGACCATGCTCAAGAAGTGTTGCAGGGCCCCTTTAACGTCCCAAAACCACCATATGATTATGAGAAATGCTGTAGTGGAAAGCTCCGCAAATTTCAACCATCTGGAGTTTTTCAATGTGCACCCAAATCTGAACACCCGAGCCTACAAAACTTTCACCTCCATCGAAAATCTAGCCGTCTTAGCCGGGATTTGATCCTGCCACTTGCGGAAGGGAAAACAACATGCACGTGCCACCCACCTAGGCAAGGCACATGATGAAAACACAGCAGGCTTGTAGCATAATGACATCGTATCCAAGTAAGTCAACTCCAACTCAAGCAGCACAAAAAAAGCTGTGCCAACACACTAGTCACCATTTTTACAGATAGAGAAATCTCCAGCCATCTCTCTTCTACGAAAATCGTTGAGCCTAAGCGCGGTGGTCGTGCAGCAAAACTGCAGGGTGCCGCCACAGGCGGCACAGTGGGCAGACAAATGGGAACACGGTGGGGATATACGGTGTACCCTTTAAGAAGCTATGGTGCTCATGCAGGCAAATGCTGAGGCAGTGCCCCGTTTGCCCCACATATAAGCCTTACCATATATTAACATAATGGTATACTCGTATTGCTTTTGCTTTTGCACAACCCGTAATGCATGCAGTGCTTGACTGTGAGCATTCTGCTATATGGCATATTCCCACCATAGGACAACCGTTTTCCAAAACTAAAATCGTGCAAGCTATCCAACCTGTATATTCGACAATATTTGTGAAGGTCCACCTTTCGACCAACCAGAGTCAACCAGCGTGACTTTGAGCGATAACATGTGAAATATTTAAAAGACACAGCGAAAATGATACAGAAAAAAAAATGAGTGTCAGTACATAAGTGGTTTGAATTGAATTGAGAATTGAAGCATGTAAAGCAACAGGATCCAGTGGCAGATCCAGAGGGGGCCATGGGGGTGATCGCCCCCTCCAAAGTCTGCGTCAGTGCACCGCCCCTCCTCACTTCAGTGCTTCTAGTCCCCCTCGTGTCACCAATTAAAACAAACGAGTCAAAGTTCTGTACGTTCACATTAACAGTATTTATGCTACGAAGGGTTTTTTCTGCTAGTAAAAGGAAAAAGTCGTGACCATGCCACCTTTTCTAGTGTTACTTTCGGCGACTGTGCCCCCTGAAATGAGTGGCTGGATCCAACCGTGAGGGAATCCAACACTTACACACTAGTTCAAACCATGGAATCCATCCAAAATCACAATGCACGCTTGATATTTTCAGACTATACTCACCTCTAGTGTATCATTTATGAAAACTGTATTGAGCCTCTCACTTGTTTAGTTCCACAGGGAAGTGTCTTGTTCTTTTTCATAAAGTTTTCCGTGATCCAAAGCTAAAACGAGACATTCTCATCCCACCATGCTGCATATCAAATAGATGTCACTGTCCCAACAAAGTATGCATTCCTTTTCCACATACCAAATTATTTCATAATTCCTTTAGTCCAATTACCTCTAAAGAATGTAACTACTTTTCTTCCTCTATTGCCTAACTGACCAATGTCACTGCTTTTATGGCTGCTGTTAAATCCGATGTTTACTCTTAGCAGCTTTTATTTGCTCTTTTTGCTCGTTTTTTTTTACTACTTTGTACACTCTTACCCACTCCCTTCTGTAATGCACTGGGGCCCCGAAGGTACCGTAATAAATAAATCAATTTTCACTTGTTTTTCTTATTACTGTGTATACTCTTACTTACTTTCTTCTGTAACACATTAGGGTCCTGAAGATAATGCACAAATAAATAAATTAATTAATAGGCGGATCCGCATGCAGGACTTTGTTTCGGCAGCCAAACACACCATGCATATGTATAAGCCTTACGCTGTGCGATATCTGGACAGCAAGACAGTGTGAACATGCCTGAAACGTCTGATACCTCTGTGGATCCTGTGAAGGCCACTTTGTCTACATCTGGGTGATTGGAAATGGCAGCACCAGCTGTTTCTCCGAAGCCCGGAACTACGTTGACCACACCAGGGGGAAAGCCAGCCTTGGCCACGTAGCTGGCCACCAGTAGCGCTGTCAGTGGAGTCTGCTCTGCAGGCTTCACCACCACTGTATTGCCCATTGCCAGAGCAGGGCCGAGTTTCCACGACAGCATCAAGAGGGGCACGTTCCACTGCAACGATAAAAGGCAGCCTGCTGAAATAAGTGAGATGAGCGCTGCAGCTCTTCGACATTCAGTGATCCAACGACTGCCTTTCAAGTGGTAACGCAGCCCCGTACAACTCGATGTGATGCACGAAGATATCATATACGCCTATTCACAAAAAAAAGGAAAAGAAAAGAAACTATGGACAATCAACAGTTTACATCAGCAGTGATTCAGGTACTACGGAGTCGGGGCATCAAGCAACCTATTTCCGGCGAGATCAAACTATAGGTGGCAGCATCGTACCTGCGCAAGTGTGAATAGGCGGTCGGCGGCACGTATACAAATACACGCAGCAGCGCTTCGTTGTGTGCGGTCTGAGCTGATTGTCGGCGGATAAAATGCATTGACTATAGTTTGCTGTTAATATACTGAATCGGTGCACGGCACATATAAAACGTTAACATTACACATGAGTAAAGCGCATCCTGCCTTTCATAGGGATGCTCGCCCTGGGTGACTCTCTTCAAGCTTTCGTATTAAATCACGCCTTTGCTGTGTTGTTTGTACGTGGTTAGCTTGTGTTCCGCCTGCTACTCACTGCTGTAGCGTGACTGAACTACTTATTTACATCTTTGTCATCTGCTTACTACAAAAAAGAGAAAGATCGTAGAAGGGCCGCATATCTGTGCGATTCGTTCACTACCACCGTTCACATCTTATACACTTACGATTTTTTTCCCTCTCATTCTGTTACCCATGAAATGTGAGACAGTCGATAAGTCTAGTCAGGAAAGCTTAGTGGCTCACGGCGCTTTGCGCTACACTGCGTTTATTACGTGTAAGCACATGTTCTTGCACCAGTAAAAATATAAAAATCTTATAAAGAGTTCAGCAGAAAGCTTTAATGGATAGATTACGTGCATGACGGTGCTTTAACAAAGGCTTGATTAATGGGGCAAGCATGTTTTTTTTTTTTTTTTTTTTTCAGACAAAAAATTACCACTGCTTTCCGTCGGTCACTAATAGTGCCACACAAATACTGAAAACAATGTAAAACAGATGAAATTTTCAGTGAAATTGTACGACATTGTATATAAGGCATGCAGTCCGAATTAATTTTACAAGTCTAGGCTCTTTAAAGCGTTCTTAAATCTAAGCACACAGTTGCACACGGTAACTTTGTTTTAAGTAGTGTAAGTACCGAAGTCTCACAGTTTATGTGATAATATTATTTCTGTGTAGTGGTATCACGGCCAGATAAACGCAACTAAGGCTCCTCGCATGATCGATAAACAGCAGTGCCATAGTTGTACACTTACCAACAACGTGCAAGCGCATGGCCTAGAGCCTTTTTTTTTTTTTTACAACCGAGTCGCTATAAAAACGCTGCATTCGCACAGAATTTAATGGTCCTCATGTTTGAGCACATGCCAACAGCATTTTGTAACGTTTTTGAAACAGAAAGCAGCATCCACTCTGAAGTTATTCTGGTGAATGGATGGTATGACAACAATAAACAGCACTCTGGAAAGCTGCACTCCAGAGTGCTGTTACAATGCATTAGCAGCCTAGCAAGACCAAACGCTTTTGTATGTTGTTTCAGGCATACGTAGAAACAGTTACACTCGTGCTGACATGACCGGACAAACTACACTTTGAGAGCATGCATGACATACACACACATAGAAACAAGACATGGCTGGCCGACGACTCAAGGAGCACTCCACACTTCACCGTTTCGGAAGTTGCAGCCAGGCGGCGACTCTGCTAAATCTCGTAGCCAATACACAAACATTCTGAAAGAAATCTACAGTGAATCCACAGCCAATATAGTTCTACATAAATAAAGCGACAGAATCCCAATAAATAAGGGTGTAAGGCGGAAAGACACAATCTCTCCAATGCTATTCACCGTTTATGGAGAGTATCTTTCTAACCTGCGGTTCACTGATGACACTGCCTTGATGAGTAACTCAGGGGACGAATCACAGCGCCTGATTACTGAACTGGAAACAAAAAGCAGAAGAGTAGGTGTGAAAATTAATATGTACAAAACTAAAGTAATGTGCAACAGTCTTGGCAGAAAACAATGATTTGCAATAAGTGTAGAGATGCTGAAAGTTGTAAATTAATATGTATACTTAGGTAGTAACCGTGGAGCCGAACCATGACAGTGAAATAACTAGAAGAATAAGAATGGGGTGGATCACATTCGGCAAGCATTCTCAAATCATAAATGACAGGCTGCCACTAACTCTCAAGAGCAAGGTATATAACAGCTGCATATTGCCAGTACTAACCGACAGAGTAGAAACCTGGAAACTTACAAAGAGGGTTCAGCTTAAATTGAGGATGATACTGCAAGCGATGAAAAGGAAAATGATAGGTGTAACCCTAAGAGACAAGAAGAAAGCAGAGTAGGTCAGGGAAAAAACCGGGGTTAAGGATATCATAGTTGAAATCAAGAAAAAGAAATGGAAATAGACCGGGCCCATAGCACGTAGGTAGGATAACCACTGGTCATTAAGAGTAACTGACAGGATTCCCAGAGAAGGCAAATGCACGAAGGGAAGACACAAAGTTAGGTGGGCCGATGAAATGAAGAAGTTCACAGGTATAGTGTGGCAACAAAACGCACAAGACTGGGTTGATTGGCAGATCATGGGAAAGGGCTTTGTCCTGCTCTTTGCGTAGTGGGGTTATTGATGATAATGACTGCTTGGAGCAGTTACTATAAAATACTTTTCCCTTATTCTCAAGGTGTTATTCTTTCATGACAACGATAGTTTGTTCATTTTTTTACCTTTATTTCTTGAACTGGTGAAAAATTGCTATATTCTGCATGTTTAGTATTTTTATGAAAGAAAAAACACATTTTTTTAGCAAGCAATGTATTCACATTTCCTGTTTTATAAGTTTATATATGCCTTGGAGGTAGAAATTCGACTACCACCAATGCATGCTGCTTCCACTGCAAGATATGCTACTGCAATAAAAGCATGGTTGTTTTTTTCCTGATGCATCTAATGAAACTTTGTGGACAATCCAGAGTTTTTCAACGACTTTGATCTATTCTAACACGTAACAGAGAGAGAAAGAGAGAAAGACGACATTTATTAAATTAAAAAAAAAAGGTGGTTCATTGCGGGTGGGGCCCTTTTTCTAAGGCTTCACTGGCTATAACGGCTCGGCGGGCCTTACCCAGGGTCGCCAGTTGGCTACCCAGGGTCGCCAGTTGGCTTCCCAGGGTCCTTTCAGTGAGTCGCGCCTCCCACGACCACGTATGTATTGGATGTGTATGTCCTATGTTGACTGTGACAGGTAGTGCAGTGGATATAACTGATGTAACTCCTTGACAGTGCGTATCCAATTTCTCAGGCTACGTATACATTCAGTGTTTGTATACGAAGATGTATATCTTAAAATAGCCTCGCATTTAGTGAAACAGCAGCCAGTTTGAATAAATCAGTGCTCTGACTTTAGCAAGTGATCACAGCTGAGGATTAAGGAACACTTCATAGGGCTTTTGCCAGTTTTTTTGCGTTTTGTTTTGTGTTGCTTTATCCCTATGGTGCCATCGCACGATTAAAGTTCGGTTGGTCACGCATTGTAGTTTCCCAGTCTTTTACTTTGCTGTGTAGCTTACTCATGCTGTGTTTCCCTGTCTTTCTTTGTTGTTTTTACTCTTAATTCAAAACCTCTAAATTTCTTCTCAAAAGCGAAAATCAAACCACTGAGTCTCGCTCTGGCAATCTTATCATATGACGCAAAAAATTATCTTCTCATGCTCATGGCACATTCATGTCAAAAATTAACTTTTCACGCTTTTAAAGCTTGTGAAGGTTTTGTACAGTTTTCTAGTGCATTCACTCTTGTGCCGTCCCCTAGCAAGCTTTAATTTTTAGTGCTGAAGTATCTGTTTCAAGCTGCAGATGTGTGCTTTGGGTTTTTTTATCTGTGAGGAGCTGCATGTAGCTCCGTCTATTTGACATGCCTCCTCCACAGTTTTGATGATCTCAGTGCCTGCTTAAAAGAAAACGGCTAGCATTTCCCTCATCGAGCTTCTCTATTACTGGCTTGCAATGAGGAAGAGGCAGCCAGTATGCCCACATTCATTAGCAGCGTCCTTATCTACGGCAGCTGTGTCAAAGGGGCTCATACACAGTGCCGATGTAGCTTCAACAGTCTCCAACTCAGCTGACGGTTCTCGGCGACACTTGGTCGGTGGGCGAGCTCTGGACATTTTTGCCCTAAACAAATATGTCGGGAGACTAGAAAAAATACTTGGCACAGCATCCGGAAAAAATTTCGGAACTTCGTGCGGCATTTTCAGAACAACTTCTTTGATTAGCCACTAGTACAAGCAAAAGATTCCTTTCTCATCGAAGTGCTTCTCACACACATGCACTTGCCAGTAAATGTGAAACCACCAGATACTTGTCGCAGTATAGTGTGTTTCCACTTTATCTGCCATTCGCTCTCTAAGCAGCCAGAACATAGACACCTTTTGTCATTTCCCTTATGACCGGATCGACACTCATGTAAGCCGCATGTACCTGGCAACCTTTTCTATCTTCAAGCACAACACGCACAACAATGAAAACGGCACGGTGGTGCGGCTGCCGGTGTCTACGCGATGCCCCAGGCTACCCCGCGCGGGGATGCAGCACCGCCCCACGGCCTCTGCTTGCAGCATACAAAGCTCTCCTGTAAAATTACGGTGGAGCTTCATGATCAGTAAAATATTGAAGGGCTCTAGTAATACTGCTGCATATTATGTCAAAGAAGGAGCAATAGGGCTTATTTATGGAGTGGTGCCTAACCCTTTGGACTGTCAAAAGGCAGGTTATATTGAACTTGTTTCTTAGTCCCAAGGGGCAGAATTAAAAATGCAGTCGATGGTCTGTAAGACAGTATTAGGGTGTTGTGTTCGGGCTCCGTTATTTACCCACAGGGTCTTAGTAATAATTCATGACAGCCCCGCCGTGGTGGTCTAGTGGCTAAGGTACTCGGCTGCTGACCCG